CATGTTAAACTCTTTTTCTGATTTAAATGTTGAATGAACCTGTTATTCACTTGCAGTACTTTCTCTTTCATATCCGAAGTATTCATATGTTTATCTTCTTCAATTACACAGATCTGTTGTATTATCAATGGTCTGACATTGCTTATTTTCATTCAACACAGATATTTAGTGTCAGTGTCTGTATTGCATTGCATAGGATCCACAACTATCCAATTTCATTTCGCACTGAAGTATTGCAATAACTAGGGCATTGCAGATACTTAGTGCAAAATGCAAAATGCCCCCAATTGACGTACGACACCATCAAAAACACCCAATCGGAGTTATATAGCACAGAAACAGGCTCTTCGGCCCAACTCATCCATGCTCACCAAGTTTCCTAAACTGAACTAGTCCCATTTGCCTGTGTTTGGCCCGTATCCCTCTAAACCTTCTCTATCCATGTATCTGTTCAATTGTCCTTTAAATGTTTTAATTGTATCCATATATACCACTTCCTCTGGGAGCTCGTTCCATATACACATCACCCTCTGCGCAAAATTGTTTTCCCTCAGGTCCCTTTTAAATCATGCTTCCCTCACCTTCAACCTATGCCATCTAGTTTTGGACTCCCCTACCCTGGGAAAAAGACCTTGGCAATTCACCTTATCTGTGACCCTCATGATTTCATAAACCTCTGTAAGGTCACGCCTCAGCCTCCTATGCTTTGGGAAAAAAATCCCAGCTTATCCAGCCTTTCCTTATAACTCAAACTTCTTAGTCTCAGTAACAAACTGGTAAGTCTTTTTTGTAGCTTTTCCAATTTAATTACATCCTTCCAATTACACAGCAACCAGTACTACAAATGTGGCCTTACCAATGTCTTATACAGCTTATATTTTCTTATTTATTTGTGGGATGTGGGCATCACTGGCTGAACAGCACTAATTGCCAGTCCCTAGTTGCCCTTGAGAAGGTGGCAATGAGCTACCTTCTTGAACTACTACAGTCCACCTGCTGAGAGTTGACCCACAATGCAATTAGGAAGGGAATTGCAGGATTTGACCCAGCAACAGTGCGATATATTTCCAATTCAGGATGGTAAGTGGCTTTGAAGGTTCCCATATATCTGCTGCCCTTGACCTTCTAGATGGAAGTGGTCATGGATTTGGAAGGTGCTGTCTGAGGATCCTTGGTGAATTTCTGCAGTGCATCTTGTAGATAGTACACCCTGCTGCTACGGAGTGTCAATAGTGGAGGGAGATGTAGTGCCAATGAAGTGGGCTGCTTTGTCCTGGATGGTGTCAAGCTTCTTGCGTGTTGTTCAGGCTACACTCATCCAGGTAAGTGGGGATTATTCCATCACGCTCATGACATGTGCCTTGTAAATGGTGAACAGGCTTTGGGGAACCAGGAGATGAGCTACTCGCCGCAGTATTCCTAATCTCTGACCCACACTTGTACCAACTGGTGAGTCCAGTTGAGTTTCTGATCAATGATAACCCCCAGGATGTTGATAGTGGAGGATTCAGCAAAGGCAACTCCATTGAATGTCATGGGGCAGTGGTTACATTGTCTCTTATTGGTGATGGTCATAGCCTGGCATTTGTGTGGCGCAGATGTTACTTACCACTTATCAGCCCAAGTCTGGTCATTGTCCAGAACTTGTTGTATTTGAACATGAACTGCTTCAGCATCTGACGAGTCACGAATGGTCCTAAACACTGTGTGATCATTGACGAACATCCCCACTTCTGGCCTTATGTTAGAGGGAAGATCATTGATCAAGCAGCTGAAGATGGTTGGGCGTAGGTCACTGGAGAAACTCCTGCAGAGATGTCCTGGAGCTGAGATGACTGACCTCCACAACCATCTTCCGCTGATACCCATTCATTCTAGTTTGGCTGGGGCTCCTTGATGCCAAGAGCTGTCACTCTAACCTCACCTCTGGAATTTAGCTCTTTTGTCCATGTTTGGACCAAGGCTGTAATGAGGTCAGGAGCTGAGTGACCCTGGCAGAACCCAAACTGGGCATCACTGAGTAGGTGATTGCTGAGCAGGTGCTGCTTGATAGCACTATTGATGACACCTTTCATCACTTTACTGATGACCAAGAGCAGACTGATAGAGCAATAACTGACCATATTGGATTTGTCCTGCTTTTTATGGATAGGACACACCTGGGCAATTTTCCACACTGTCGGGTAGATACCGGTGTTGTAATTGGACTGGAACAGCCTGGCTAGGAGAACAGTGAGTTCTGGAGCACAAGTCTTCAGTACTATTGCCGGAATATTTATCGGGTCCCGTAGCCATTGCAGTATCCAGTATCTCCAACTGTTTCTTGATATCACATGCAGTGAATCAAATTGGCTGAAGACTGGTATCTATAATGCTGGGATGCTCAATACACTCTTACTATTAGAGACAGACTAGCTCCCATATCTCTCAATATTTTAACTTCTTTACCTACTCTCCTGTTCTACCTGAGTAAATCTTACCCGTACAGGTGAAGTCTTTGAAAAGATCGGGCAACTATCTTATTATCCAGCCCGTGACTAGGTTGTGCACGCTCCTGCAACTTCTGGGATTTTCTTCACTACCTTAAATAATCCCAACGATTTAGCCTCTTTTACCGCACCCTTTTTCCCATTGCCTTTCTTAAACCACCAGCACTGTGACTTTTTGTGTTCCACCATATTCTATTGAGAACACCTGAGGTCTTTCTCTTTTCCACCCTTTGGGTTTCTTTTTTCACATGTGGTAAACTGTTCCTGGTGTGATCTACTTCTTGTTTTTCATTGAAGGATCTCCTTCTTTCCCAACTTCTATCCCTCACTGAATGAAATTGCTGTCAGAAGCTAGATTTCAATTTATGCACTAATGCGTATTCATCCGCCATCTCCACAGCTCTTGCTGTTTTAACCTTATGTTCCTCGACATGAGTTCTTACCACTTCTGAAAGTGAGTTTTTAAACTCCTCTAGCAGAATAATATCTCTAAGAGCCTTATATGTCTTTTCTATTTTTAATGCCCTCATTCAACTATCGAAGTTGCTCTGTTTAATTCTTTCAAACTCAATATAATTCTGACCTGAGACAACAAGGTGTAGAGTTGGATGAACACAGCAGGCCAAGCAGCATCAGAGGAGCAGGAAAGCTGACATTTTGGGTCTAGGCCCTTCTTCACACTCATCACACTACCCTACATCAGGAACACATTGGAACTAACCACAGGGCTCCTACGACCGCTAGGCATCAGATTGGCACAGAAGCCCACATCAACTCTACGACAACTGCTCACCCGAACTAAAGATCCACTCCCCGCCATGGACAGGACCAATGTCATCTATAAGATCCCCTGCAGAGACTGTGAGAAACACTATACATTGGACAAACAGGAAGGAAACTAACAACAAAGGGTACACGAACACCAACTGGCTACAAAAAGACACGACCAATAATCAACTCATCTCAATCCACATGGATAAGGAGAACCACCAATTCGACTGGGACTACATCAAAATCCTGGGACATGCTAAGCAGAGACAGGCACGGGAATTCCTAGAAGCCTGGTACTCCACGAAGAAAGCCATCAATAAACACATAGAACTTGACCCCATATACACTCCACTACAAAGGAAAACCAGAAGTGAGGCAATCCAGCTCAACGGACTCCTGAGTTTAAAAACCAGGCAGGAAAACACACAGGCGCTTCACCGGAGTCTGCACTGATGATGTTACCCAGCAGGGTAATGAAATGTCTGCGGAACAGCAAACCAGCTCAGTGAGCCAACCAACCTCAACACCTACAACCCGAGCTACAAATCTACTCCAAAACATTGGATGGAGGGTTGCCTGACCTGTGACCCCCTCAGCCCCTATGAGGAGAAAATCCTGGCCCTCATAGAAGGTATTGCCAAGTCATCAATGTCCCACCAACCAAGTAAGTACCATTCTTCATCCCACTGCAAATTTCACAGTAACCAGATGTCAGCGTTATTGATTGCAAATTGTGATGTTTTCTCTACTTTACTTTGCAGGTACTGCCAGCATGTCCACACCACCACTGAGAAAGAGTCAGCTCCCCCAGATGCCTCATCCTCAACCTCTAAGGACGATAGTACAAAAGCATCAACAAGACTCCTCCAATTCCCACCAACTGAAATATTGACACTCAGTGGAGTGTTGCCATTAGCAGATGTAGGAGTACAATTTGACGAACACCTCACTGCGACAGCTCCACAACAGAGAAACATCCAAGGCTGCTGGCACTTGGGGGTCTGCAGAGGCCAGGCACCTGCTCAACCCCAGGCAGGAAAGGACTCTATGATGTCACCAATCAGGAACTTCATCAGAATGTACAAGGAAGAACAGGAGATACAGATAATAATATGGGATTCAATGGACCTCACTGCCCATAAGCTGCAACAGTGCAGTGAGGAAGCATCTGCACACCTCCATTTGCAAGCCTCCACGGTCAGGTTAGCAGCTATCATGGGATCCAGGTTCAACATCTTCGAGGTCTGCTACAGATATGCACACACACACACTTGTACTCCACTACCCAAGTCATTGTTCCTCAGGACCAAAAGCAGGGTGACAGGGAGTCTGGTGCCCCTTGCTCACAAGGAGCACAGGCAGTTATCAAGAGGCATCCAGTTGGAGGAAGACCCACACAGAGAATGCTCAGAAGTCTCCTCTCAGAAAATTCATTTTCTGAACCATGAAGTAAACCGGCAGGTTAATACATCCCTAAAGCTATATTTAGCTGAACCCTAACATCAAATGCTAAATGTTTACTTCCCTTCATTTAACACAGAGCATCATAAGGCTGCAGGGAAGGAAGTATTTACAAAATTATGTAGAGTTTTGAACATTTTCATGTGGTTAGAATCTTGGGCAACAATCACTTTATCCAAACGTAATTAAGTGACACCTTCATGTCTCCAGCAATTTAGGCAAACATTATCAGGAAAGTGATAAATAGTCTAGCAGTCTTAACTGAATGTCAACACTTACGGACACAGTAATCATCACTTTCGTAATATCCAGGGCAGCACTGTGATCTTCTTCTATACATTGTTCTTAGACCTCGGCGATAAGCTGTTTTGTAACTGATTCTGTAATAAAACAATTATTTGTGAAATTGCTGGTGTCTTGGCTTTTTGTAATTGAAAAGTAAAATAGTTTTATCTGACAAGGTTTTTAGAAAATTCATAAGCCAGCAAATGCCTTTTAAAAATTCTAAAAGATAATTGGAAACACGATGGGAAGTATGCAAAACTCTTGTGGTGAAATCTGTAGAAATGGCAAGATCAACAGAACAGCTTTGTCACATACGAAGTTTTAAAGAATTCAGTTAATTTATTATTGAAGCAAAATAGTCTGGAACTACCAAATCTGTGCACTGAAGTCACTGCTAAAATTAGTCAGCAACTTTACGCAAAACACAGACTGCATGCTAGATACATGACTACCTTTAAATTTCTAACAATTCCAGATGATTTCTTTGCTTACAGCAAGATAGTGAACAATTAAAGGAAACAGAACTGAACTCGAGTCAGGTCCAGAAACTACAATGAAAGCCCTTTCACTGGCAACAAATTCTAATCACTAACCTCAATGTATACTTTGATATTTTTCATCAGCGGATTATTGCAAAACAAGTTAGCAGCCAGACAATAATATTGTTTATTCTTGATTAATTTTTGCAAGACATCCATTCTTCTAAAGGATTGCACTTGGTCCAGACCTTGAACTAGGATCTATTACTCAGGAATAATGTTCTCAAAAGCTATAGGTAAGATAGCAACAATGTTCTCCTGATTTACAAGTTATCTGAACTAGACGATGAAGTTATTACCTTGCACGCTGTTTCTGGATCTACTATTTTTTATTCAGTGGCGAGTTTATAGTTTTACAGCCAAATAACTCAATCTAACTGAAAGATTCACCACTGATTTATTAAATATCTTTGCTCTATTTGAAACTAACCTGTGTCTGGTACATTTAAACCAATTAAGAATATCAGTACATCTCGTGTAGTAGACTTGGTCGAATGGATGGGCATAGGATTCCTGAACAGTGACTGCATAACTGAGAAAACAAAACATAAACAGTTTTAATTGATGAATATCCTGTTCATGAGAATTAAAATGATGGAGAAAATCCAAAAATATTAACCACAAGGCTAGATTTTGATTGATTAGAAAATTAAAAGTAATGTAGCATTGTTTACAACATCAATTTCTGTCAAAGAATATGAATTTCTATAACATAGCAATTACTACTGGTAAATAAATCTTGAAGTGTATGACACAATTGGTTTCTAGTTTGTTTCAAAGATTATAGGAATTCATTTATGTCAGAAATTTGTTCCACTTTATAAAAACAAATTTAGCAAGTTACTTTTTATTAGATTTCAGTGTGCAACAAAACATTTCAACACTGAATTGAGTACTCTTGTTTCATCAATGCAAGTTCCTAGGGGAACACTTCTAAATTCATATCGTAACTTTTGTTTTCCAGCATTCAGTGGCTCACTCCCAGGTTACTCCTTCTTTCCAACTTCTCTTGCCTGGCCATAGTAAGATGCCTGGCTCTACACAGTGATTCTCAGAAGCAGCAGCAGCTCCCATTGTGGAACAGTCGCCACCACAAAGTATCATATTATGGTTTTATGAATAGGAAAAAAATGACCTGCTCTTTGATGTTCAAATGAAGTTAGCATCCAGAATGTCAGATGTTGTTTGTGACTGTACATGACTATACCAAATTTACGAATATGTGTGAAACTCTCACACATCTGGGCATATTAGGAAATTGCTGGAACACACCTCATAATTTTTCACCCATTAACTTCAATTTTTCCAAAAAATTCACTTCATGTGGATATTATCCTGCTGCAAATTAATGCTGAGGGCTAAAGAGTCAAATTTCCTGTCAGGGATACTTATTCCATGGGATATTGATAGGTAATTATGATATTAGCTTTCTGTTGAAATTTGTTTTTCAACGGGATTTGCACAGTGTCTTTAAGGTGCAGGAATGTGGTGTGTGGTATGTCTTTCAGCCCTCTTACATTACCTTCCACTTCTTAAAACTACAGGGTATCAACATGCAGGGATGTCCAAAATGGATTTTGCAGCTGTCAATTTTTTGAATAAAAGTTGTATGTGGAACTTTCTGGATTCTGTTTACACCTTATTTCCTAGTGCAACTAGTCTACGTTCTGAACTGGACAGCTAAATTTCACATTGCATCCAGGCCTAAGCAGGCATTCTACTTCTGAACAACAAAGGTCTGCTACAATCTGGAATGTGCTACCTGAAAGGGTGTTGGAACTAGATTCCACAGAAACTATGAAAAAACAACTGACCGTGTACTTGAAGTGAATTAATTTGCAGTGTTTATAACACCATAAGACCGTAAGATACAGGAGCAGAATTAGGCCATTCAACTCATCAAGTCTGCTCCACCATTTGAACATTGCCAATATGTTTCACAACCTCATTATCCTGCCTTCTCCCCTTAATCCTGATCCCCTTACTAATCAAGAACTAGCTATTTCTGTCTTGAAGACACTCCATGACTTGGCCTCAACAGTCCTCTGCAGCAATGAATTCCACAGGTTCACCACCCTTTGGCTGAAAGAAATCTCCTCAGTTCTAAAGGGTCATCCCTTCTGAGACTGTGCCCTGGGGTCCTAGTCTCTCCTACTAGTGGAAACATCTTCTCCAAGTCTACTCTATGCAGGCATCTCAGCATGCTATAAGTTTCAAGGAGATTCCCACTCATCCTTCTAAACTCTATCGAGTACAGACACAGAATCCTCACCCACTCCTTATATGACAAGACCTTTATTCTTGGGAACCTCCTCTGGACCCCCTCCAAGGCTAGCACACCCTTCCTTGATATGGGGCCCAAAACTGCTCACAATTTTCCAAACGCTATTTGACTGGAATTTTACATAGTTTCAGCAGTGCACCTTTTCACTTGTATTCTAGCTCTTTCAAAATGAATGCCAACACTGCATTTGCCTACTTAACTGCCAAGTGAGCCTGAATATTGACTGTGCAAGAATCCTGAACTAGGACTCCTAAATACCTTTGTGCTTCAGATTTCTGAAGCCTTTACCTCTTTAGACAATAGTCTACACCTCTGTTCGTCTTACCAAAGTCAAAACTCACACTTTCCCACAATGTATTCCATCTGCCCCTTCTTTGTCCACTCTCCTAGCTGTCCAAATCCTTCTGCAGGCTACCCACTTCTTCAACACTACCTGTTCCTCCACCTATCTTTGTGTAATCTGAAAACTAAAAACAATGCCCTCAGTCCTTAATCCAGATCTTTAATGTGTAACGTGAATAGTTGTGGTGCCTGCAGAATTCCAATAGTCATCAACTGCCATCCCGAAAGACTCCTTCATTCCCATTTTCTGCCTTCTTCCAGTCAGCCAATCCTCTAATCTTGCCCTAAACATCATGCACTCCTCTTATTTTAGCAGCCTCCTGTGTGTCATTTTGACAAATCCAAATAGACGATGTTCACTGGCTCTCCTTTGTCTAATTTGCTTGTTACCTCCTCAAAGAATTCTAAGAGATGTGTCAGACATGATCTCCGCTTGACAAAGCTGAGCTGACTCCATCCCATTTTACCCTGCTCTTCCAAGTACTCCGCAATCTCATCCTTAATAATGGACCCTAAACTCTTACCAACAAATGAGGTCAGGCTAACCAACTTTTAATTTCCTATGTTCTGCCTCACTTCCTTCTTAAACAGAATTGTTACATTACAATATGACAAGAAAACTAGGGTCAGATCTAAATTAGACAACTCTATTAAGGAGCCAGCTGAGACAACAGGCCAAATGGCCCACTTCTCTGTTTCATGGTTTTACAGTTTTGCTCAGCAAATGCTCAGATAATGCCAGGACAGCAGAAATCTGACCCTCAATCTGAAGAATCTACCAATTCATCAGGAACATTAACATTCAAATCTTTAAACTACTTTATGAGCGAAATGCTTGGTCTTTGGATGTCTGGTTAGATGAGGAATTATGGATGCAAACCTGCATTTACCATTCTATGACACAGCATATTTCAACCACAATGCATTGCATTTGTTACTTTTACAAGTCATTTGATTCCTGTAGATAAAATTCCTATTTTAATATAGTGAAAATATTATTATATGATTACAAATTTAATGGCTGAATCAGATATTTCTTTGAAGGAATTAGACACATTGTCATAACTGTTTAATAATCAACATTTAATCCTAAAGGGCAATAAAGGTCATTTGCTCAGGCTCCCCTTGCAATGTGATTTATTAATGTCTACATAACAAAGTCATCATGTGACGTACAGCAAATCAATAATAGAGTTTAATCTGACTTTTCTCTTGATTGCAATGTTGTGTTCGTACCAATTCATTCAATCAATAGTTTGTGTGTATGCTTTTGGTTTGCTAATGCTTCTTCAAAATAATTGTACGAGGTCTTGGTTTCTTGATTAACCTGAAGAATATTAATTTCTTTTGTCATTTTATTTTCTATTTTGTTTTAAAACTTTCAAAGAGAGAGGAAAATTAGTTTAAACTTTTCTCTAGCAAAAGGTATTTTTTTAAACAATATGCATCTTGTAGTTTGCACATTATTAACTATCTTTTCTGAGAAGAGCTTAAACTGCTCTTTTTCTACTTTATTTGCAAGTACTCTTTATAATCACAAAATCAGAATACAGTTTTAATTTAGTTAAAATTTCAAATTTATCCCAGACAGGAAAGATTTCAGAATCTCCTAACAATAATGTAATCAATTAGTAATAAAAAAAACTTGATTAGGTTCATGTTTATTTTTCTTTGAATATAACATAATCACTCCCAGTTGAAGAAATAACAAACATTCAATCTTACATTTATACTAATTAGAGACAATAAAAAAAATTCTATTGTTTAAGGCTTCCCCTCACCCAACAATGTAGAATAAAACATAAATGAAACATCTCACTGCTAAATTGCTATGTTTTTTAAATTTTTGTTTTGTGTTTTACATATAGAAGCAACATAATATAAATTCTTACATTCTTACGGTTAATTCTACAA